AAAAAAAAAAAAAAAAACAGAAGCAAGTAACACATATGACAGTCAGGCAGAAACGAGAACAAATACTATAGGTGCAACAAGAATGACCAAGTTCACCAAGTTTCCATGAGAATCAGGTTCTCAGGTTAAGGCTCAACTTGATCACTCCAAACATTATGATAAAAGACAAAAGGGGAGGGTTCAGTTCAGGGTTGAAACATGCAAACCAGAGGGTAGCCAATGAACAGCTACCAAAACCACAGTTTCAGTACAACAGAAAGAACGCAAAGTTCACAGCAGGAGTCATGTTCCACCAAGAACCACGATGGAATCAAAAAAGGAAGGTTCAACCGAAAAGCCCCAACACATGGAATCAATTAATCGAACCAGAATCAGGATCACAGGCACCCACAGACCCCACCAGTGACAGTACTAAAACCAGTGCACACGAAAAAACTTCAAGAATTGAAAGATCAAGAACTAAGGTTTTCAGACTTTCAGGAGATCAATGACTTGAAGGCTGAAAATTAATTTTCCAGACTCCAAATCACGATCGAAGACCCAAGAACAGCCACCAAAGGCTCTGATACCACTGTTATACAAAATACAGACTGAAAGATTACAGATCGAATAGATTACAAACCCTATTACATTCAAATCGCCCTAATACATCAAACTATGGAAATAACCACTGAACATCAAAGATATCACAGATCGAAGGCTCAGAGTACAACCATAAAAAGGATCAACACATATGAAGCCAGATCTAACCCAAAACCCTTCTAACCACTGACCAACCCCGTAGCAACTTCTGTGAACCAGAAGGACTACGAGTCACCAGAATCTCAGCACAGATTCTTTCAGTTAATTCATAAAGAATAACACTCTAAGAAACGAATTCAAAGACCCTTCATAGAGAAGAAGACGAAAGAAAACCAGAGAGAGAAGAATACTCTAGAACACACTCTCAATCAAAAGAGGAAAACCAATTAATCAAAAAACCACTCGTTTACCCACTAATATCTGTGCATTGAGATTGGCGACTTCTTCATCCAACGGCCAGAGTTGCATACAAGGGAGTTAGGCCGATTATTGGGCTGGGGCAGGAACTGGACTTCTATTTAGTTTGATAGGAAATTGGTAGTTGGGCCGAAGGCCATCATCATTGCCTAAGTGGGCTGGACCAGGGCATCACAGCCTCACAATAATCGACACTAATCAGTTGGAGGTCGGGAATCAATGTTTTTGGAGATCACAAACAAATATGAATATGCAGATTTTAATGAAAGTTGATGAAATGTGTAATTGAAAAGTTAATAAAAGACGTGGATACTATAAATTGTTTGGTTAAAATTAATTGTTAACTTTTATTTACGTTTTTATCAACCTTTTTAACTAAACCAAACAATGTTTCGATGTTTTAAACAGCAGTGTATATATATATGGATATGGCTATAAATTCAACCATCTATCAAATGGATAAATGAACTAATTCAACACTTACATTTTCTTGTTCTGTTGTTTGAACTAACCACTTCATGCTTTGTTGAGTTACTACAGTATTTTTTAAGGTTTTTCTTCTAAACAAATTGAAATTAGAGTTTTTTCACGTTCTAAAGTCAAGCCGGTCGAGTACATTTACTACAACCTAGCGTCGCTTGTGTTGAGATTTGAGTACATCACAATGTGTGTGTATATATGTCCCTGTTTGAGTCCCATTTTAAAAAAATTCATTTTTTTTCTAAACTAATTTTTAATTACACATTTTTTCAATAAAATAATTTTAAACGTAAATTCAAAAAAAAATTCATATTTTTTAACTACACATTTTTCAAAAAGTCACCATTACAAAATTTATTTTTCCCTAAAAATGAGGCTTAAACGAACCCATATATTTCGATCTATTAAAATCAATTATGAAAAGTTAATGTCTCGCCAACACAAAAAATAGGAAAAAGGGTAAGATCAAGTTATTTCCACCAAAAGCAAAAACAAAAAGAAATTAATGTATTAGGGTCTACTTCTTTTGTCATTCAATTATGTTACATGTACATTATCCTTTACATCATTCTTTACATTTTGTCATGTGACAACACGCCATTGGATAGTTTAAATTTTTTACCCAATAGACACTTGCCAACACATGTCATGTCAATCATAATGTCAAAAAAGAATATACAAGTGGCATTTTCCTTTGTCATTAGATGCCCTTCCACCAATTTTTCAATTTTGTTACGAATCACTCAACACTTAGGGTCCGTTTGATTGCAAATGTGGAATTTGGATGGAAAGAAAATGAATTACAGGAAATTGAACTGCCTACATTTTGTTTTACTGTGTATTGTAATTAATTGTATTTGATTTGTATAATTTTTCACCTGAAAAATGTTGAAAGTTTGGTGTCCGTTTGGCTTCGTTTTTTATGGAAATTATCCATTAAAGTGATATTTTTTCTTATATTTAGATTTAGAATTTGTTCCAATTGCCAAAAAACAACAAAAAATAATTTTCATACCAAATATCATTCATTTGACTTTGTTTTTCATGAAAATTGTCAATTAAAGGGATATGATTTATTACAATTGGGAATAGAATTCATTCAAATTGCCAAAAAAAAGTAGCCTGAAAAACCAAGAATTGGGTGGAAAATGAGGTAAGGGTGGAAAATGAATTCCATGGAAAATTTGACCTACCAAACGGCTTAAAAGTGAATTTCAACTTCCCTAGAAAATTATTTGCTATCAAACAGGCCCTTACAGTTAATTCACTTTGGTTGTCAAACATTTTTTTTCCAATCTAAATACAAAAGTTCAAATTTTTTTTCCAATTTAGACACACACAATCTATGGGCGGGGAGACAATTTTTTTATATATATATATACTGCACTGATACATATAAAAAAATTCATAAAAAGAAAAATGTTTACCTTAAAAACTAAATGGGCCCAGTCAAGGCCTGCCCCCTCCCTCTGCCCTTTACTCACCCGTGTGTGCTAAACTGCGGAAATACCGAACTTGTAGCAAGAGGAAAGTTGGTGGAAAAAATCAAGAATTTGGTTATATACATATTTTTCTTTTATATTTTTGTTACTTTGAAAAATATTATTTCGAACACAACTAGTTTAGCAAGACATGTTGTCTAGAGACGAACCAAACTATACACTAATAAATTTTTCGTATCACGTCGTACTTTGCATTGCTCACATCAGCATTTCTACTAATTTATTAAATGGACGATGACAAAAATGAAAATCCATTTACTAGTTTGTAATCAAAGTAAACAACCACATAATACCACAATCAAGTAAAATAATTTACAAAATAAAATTACACAAGAAACTTATCTTTTCTTACAATTTCATTGATTATGCAAGCAAGTGATAATGAGATGGATCATGATTTTGTTTAGAAGGCCCACAAAACATTCCACCATATTTGGGAAAGTAAATTAGAGTGAGCGAAGTAGAGCAAATGAGCATCATCAACCCCATTATGGATATCCCTTTCTCAGTTGAAATCTTAGAGCCACCACCTGAAAATAATAAGAGTTGGGTCACAACTGCACCCAATGTCCCTCCACTCCCTGTCATGCCTGATATTACACCCAGAGACCTGCCAGGATCGCCATAAAATATTTAAGTCGATTATAATTTAGTTTTAACTTTTAAGTTGAAGTCAACGATTCACAAATTTAATGGCCAGGATCTACAAATTTTAAGTCATACATTTTACTATTTTTTTATCAAAATCTACTAAAAATATTTTACATGAATTATAACATGGGGACCAAAAAAGGTACTTATTAAGAGAATCACTCGTTCAATAAAAAGCCAAACACGCAATTATAATCTGTGTAGTAAGATCAATTTGACTATTGAGGTACCCACTAATTAATTGTCTTGTTGAATATTATTCGAATGGACCGGTCCAATGTTAATTAGACATGATTAGACACGTTTCTTCAGCTCTCTGTTTTCCTGAATAATGCCACTTTTTAAGATGAATTTCACATCTAGAATGACGATGAAAGTGCGACAATAAGTGATTGGTGCAAAAATTATCTTTTTTTAAAAAAAAAGGAGGCAATAACAAAATACCACGTGGCATTCTATGAAAGTAGGTGGCAAATCTGTCTAGTAATGTAGCAACGTTAGTTTTTCTTAAATGTGTTCAATCTAGCCCCTTTTTGACTCCCATTAGATTAAAATTCATTTTTCTCTCTCTTTTTATCAATCACACATTTTTCAATGAGTTATCCTACACATACAAAGTTGGGTTACAAAGTTGGTTTACAAAATAACATCTACACCAATCATTTTAAAAATAGATTTTTAAATTATTTGAAATCAACGATCTGAATTTTGTCAACACGCTTTGTAACTCAACTTTGTACAAATAGTTTTATTGTTTTTCAATAAAATAATGTTACACGTAAATCTAAAAATAATATTCTTTTTTAACACACATTCTTCAAAAAATTATTATTCCTCCCATTATAATCTACAATAATGGAGCCCAAACAGGGGCTTAACATATGAATGAGTCATCTAAGAAGTTGAATTTTTGTGTCAAACTATGTTTTAAAGCATTTTTTACTAAGATTAAAAAGTTTACTTTTAAGTGAGTCTTATTTATAATTATTTTGCCACCTTGTCAGAAGAATTGTAATAGATGTATTGACATAATTCGAGGTGGCGGTAGATGATTCGATTGAAAAGCTGACTCTGTTTAAAATAGTTCAATGATAGAATACTTTATGACATCATGTCTAGGATTATGGTACTATAGCATAATTTGATTGATAAATAAAAGTAAAAGTTTACTAAAAATTTGATTTTCATCTGAATAAAAAAAGGTTTTATTATACATAATGGAATTATATTAACTATTTATAACTTCCTTCCAAAATATAGAATCTGGTGAAAACATAGCTTCACCAAAAATATTAGAATCATCATCTACTAAGTAGGTTATAAAAGCAAGATCGAAAGAAGTAGTGGTCCTAGATCTTTTGCTTTTCCTAATTTCGGCTTCTTCTAATTCAATAGGTCCCTATCTAACTTCTGGAAAAACACACTAACACAGCTAGTTGATCCTTCAGATTTTTCTTTAAAAGGAAATTTGTTTATTAAAAAATCCAACATCCCTAATTTCAAAAATTACGTTTTTAGCCCTTGTTTGAGTCGCATTATTTTCTTCATTCTCATTCCTCTACTCATTTTCAACCACACATTCTTTAATAAAATAATATTTTCTATCACATCAATAATTTTTCCTTCTTTTTCAACCACATATTATCCATCACATCAAACAAAAAAGTGCATTCTTAGACTCAAAATGTGCACCAAATAAGGGCTTAGTAATCATATATTAAATGCATGACACGTACCTGTTGGAAACGAAAGGGACTACGCCAAACGTGAGTCCAGAAGCAGCTTGTACAAACAAAGAGAAGCAACACATTACCAAAATTGATCCCCAAAGCGAGTTCATTCGACCAAGAAAATAACACAGCAACCCGGCCACCATTTGCACCACCCACAAACTCCACAACCGCCCTCTCATCCCAAACCTCCGTCCCATCTCGTCAGAAACCACCCCACCAGCCGGCCTCGACACGATATTCGCAAACCCGAAGCTGGCCGCAATAACTCCGGCCGTCTCAATATCCAAACTAAATCTGTCGTAAAAATATTGTGCAATGATATTATCAGTTGTTAATTCAACTCCAAAGCAAAACCCGTATATGATTCCTAGAATCCACCCTCTGTAATTCTTTAGTCCATTAAAGAGAATACTAAAAGCGTTGTTATTATGATCAGCCGAGGTCTTGTTTTTCTTAACATGTTTATAATTTCCATCTGGTAAATCCTGTCCAAATGCGAGAACCATTATTGCAGTTATTACCTGGAAAACTGCTGGAAAAATAAATGCAACACGCCATGCAGTAGAAGAAGACAAATTTAGGGTTTTAAAGAAGAAAGAATATATTAAGGGCATTAAAAGCTGTGTGACTCCGGACCCAACATTAGCCCAACCAGCAGCAAACCCGTTGGCGATTCCGACAACCCGACCCGAAAACATGGAGCTCATCCAAAACTGATTTGCTACAAAATTTGCTAAACAAAAGCCAATGAGAAATCGGATGAGAATAAATGCCTGAGGCGATGAAATGAAGGAGGTTGACAGTACTATTGGTGCAGTGATGAGGGAGAGGGTGGCCGAGGCGATACGTGGGCCCATGAGGTCGCATGCGGGGCCCATTACGAGTCGAGAGAAGATGGAACCTGCGAAGGATGCGACGGCAGCATTTCCGACATCGGATTGGGAGAGATGAAGGTCTTCCCGGATTATGGGAAGGAGTGGAGGGATGGAAAAAGTGGAAAAAAAGCATGAAAAAAGTGAAAACCATGCAAGATGAAAAGCTTTCATGTGGGGAGAAGAAATTGAAAATGGATTGAATTCAGTGGCTTTATGATTTATATCTACTGGAATAGAGAAAAGGGGCTGAGTTCTGGAAATTGGTGATTCTTCCATGGCTGATCGCATAGGATGCAGAAGAGTAAGTGTTTTCTTATTTTATTTTATTTTTTGGAAGAGATTGCAAGTAGTAATATAGGGGGGAAAAGGAGAAAAGTATACGTATAGTGCTTGCTTGTCACACTTTCGTTCGAAAAAAAGAGAGTAAGTCCATTTCGGGTTTGTTCTGAATTCTTTTTCTATTGATGAATTTTTCTCCATCTGATAGTGATAGAGATGACATTCTCATACACTTGTTAAATGAAAGTTAAGATTTTGATAAAAGGCAAAAAAAAAAAAAAAAATTTACAAATTAAGTATAATTATTTTTAAAGGATTGCCCTCCCTCAAATGGGAATGGAACTTCTTGATAAGCTAGGGAATCGGAACGGAGATAGAGAACATATATTTGTTGCATCTTCTAGTTTTTAATTTAAATCATATTTTAAAACAATTAATTAATTAAAAAAGTAAAAGGGTCAAGAATATTAAATTGTGTGGAGTTTAAGTATGTTAAATACTTGGATTGTGAATCAATCAAATATTGGATATGGCATATGCTTTAAGTTGCTCTGAGAAGGATTTCTTAAGCGCTATGATTGCGTTCTAACTGTTTTCCTTTAATAAGCGAATGATGTAAGCTGTCCGTTACACATTATTTCAATGTACAGTCAAATAAATAATTTCTCCGTCCCATAAATATTGACTTATTTTTCTTTTTCGTATGTTCAAAATTATAAGTCACTTTTATTATTGAAATTATAGTTGATTTTTTAATTTTCTAATATACTTATTTAATGTTCATTGTTATAAACAAATATGAACTATTCCTATTTAAATTGTTATTTAATGTAGGGATATATTAAAAAAACAAAAGAAAAATTTATATTTTCAATTATATTAATTATATTTTCTTAATATTCACCTGTTTGAGCTTCGTTTTTTGCTAAGAATCCATTTTGGAATAATAGATTGATGGATACTATGTGGTTCAAAAATAAGAAAAGTTTTTAAGGTAATATTATTTTATTGAAAAATGTGTGTTTAAAAAGGAGAGAGAGAAAATGTATTTTGAAAATAATATGAATCAAAAGAGTATGTGAAAATGAAAACAAACATATATTTATGGGCCGGGAAATAATATTTTTCTTATGAATTGATCCTATGTTTGGCTCACATGGGAGATCGATGGTCACGTGGGGTCAAATGACCCCACACTTTTTTTTTTTTTGAGTAAATAATTGTTTTGATCCATTTACGATATACTTTGACGCACTCATTAACATTCTTAATACAATTTCAAAGTGTTCATGACCTAGTTTTTTTATTGTTAATGGCTTGCGAAATGATCAACCGTAGCAAAAGTTACGACGTATTAAAGTAGACCATTCCAAACTTTTAAAATTCGTCGATGATCGCATACTATCCGAATCCACAAATCACCTATGTCATCTAGAAACTTGTTTCGAAAACTACATCGTAGTCAAAATGAATGGTCCAAACGGATATCGAAAAAAGTTAAATAATGTGTCAAACGTACGTCTTAAAATAGGCGTCTATCTCGTCTTTTCTTTAAAAAAATTTCAATTATTTTGTTAATGTTTATTATTTTTGCATGAATTTTTTTTTAAATATAATTCATATCATTTTATTAGGAAATTTTATATAGAATATGACGTCAGAAATTTTAAGATCGTTAGAGATTAAATGTAATTTGAATTACTTTAGCATCAAATTTAAATTTCATTTACTTCCTAAATTAAATGTGAATTTTATTTCAATTCATTTACTTTCTACATTCAATTTGATTTAGTCGCCATTAACTCAACATCTGTCAACAAAATGGTAAACAAAACTAAACAAATAGCAAAATTCATTTGACAATATTGATAATGATATAATTATATGTTTTCAAATTATCAAAATTCGTATTAACTTATTTTCATTAATATTAGATTGTTTTGAAAATAATTACACTTCAATTTTTTACCACATAACACAAAATGTCTGGGTCCATCACTGTTGACTCATGTTTATCAATATTTTGCTCATGTTCGGTACACATTCTTTTAAAATACACTTTTTCAAAACTCATTTTCAACCACACATTCTTAAATAAAATAATGTTTTTCATCACATCAATAAATTTCCTTACTTTTTAACCACATATTTCTCATCATATCACTATTTAAAATACATTATTTCCTCAATAATATTTATCAAACACGTGTTTAAATATTTTTTTATTCATATATTTCGAGAAATTTATAAGTAATAATTATTTATTTATCACTTATTTTTATATATTAATAATTTAAACCGTTGATAAATAATTTTCAAACATCATGTTAAATTTTTAAGCAAGTGGAAGAATTATCCTTAAACACATCCTAGTCACTTCCATTACACCAGACATGTTGCCAAATGGAATCATGAATTGTTCTGTTGATTTAGTTGATGTTAAATTCCAATACGGCATTCAAAGATACGTCCTCCCCCAGCAAGAGAGAATTTATAGTTAGCACCGAATGCTATGGTTTCAGGTTCAACCTCTTCTTTTGAGTGGCTTATATGCATTTAATATACTCCATCCCAACCAATCATCATATATGGACAAACTCGATTCTAACAAGATAACGTATGATGGGACGAGTGTAAAGCTATCAAAATACAATTGAACTACCTGTAGAGAACTTTCGTCGGCAAATGATGAATTGATATATATTTTGGCCATTACTTCCAATAAATAAAATTCAAATTAATGACCAAAATGCATGCTACCTCATCATCTATCAAGCTAATTGTACATGTAACATAACTCATCAAAATATATTTGGGCCGAGCATGAACCGTGCTATAAATCAACCCGTTCATAAAATCGGGTCATGTCAAATCTGATCGTATAGTTACGTGTTCCATGTGAATCACCACAAGGACCTATATTAAGGGTTTGTTTGGAGTAGCTTTAAAAGTTGAGGTCAAAGTCGACAATTAATTTTAACATCACCATTCATTGGATCCATAATTTTTTGATTGGCCTTTTAATTATATATTTTGT